CAATGCTCTGACACAGATTTTTTCCTAGTGCCAACAAAAATTTTTGAAATCTCAAAACTAGCAGCAACTAAATTGAAACTGGGCCAAGCTGAAATAAAGTTCATAAAAGTATCGGCCTGTTTTGTTTTTTTTTGGTCATGCGCAGGCGCAGTTCACGAGAAATTTCTCTTTTTTTTTTTTTCCTCTTCAGTTTTATTGCTTAAGTTTTTATGAACACTATCAAACTCTCCTTTATCAGAAGAAGTCCTACAAACGATTGTTTCTGAACAGAAAATGCACAAGGCTTTATTTTCATTGTTAATCATACCACATTTTTTAATCCAGTATTTAAATTCTCTAATATCTTCATTTGAATGACTTCGTTTCTTAGCTCATGACAATCTGTAAAGGGAAGACAATAAAAATACATGCGATAATGATATACATCAAAGAGGAGAAAGAATAAAAGGGAATCTAATGAAGAAGTTTCGTGTGCCAGAAACAAGTCATCGGTGTGCCATGTTTGGCACGCATGCCAAGAGTTGCCGACCCTTGCTCTAGAATATCTTTGGGATTTTATAAATATAGGACCGCAGGCAGGTGATAGATTTTCAAATAGAGAAATCCTCAAGATGGCCAGTCAACACCGTTTTAGACGTGGTCTGTCGACCTCAAAAAAAATTCTATATTTTGAGCAGGCCTTGAAAGTCTTGTCTGAGGATGACATCAGCACATAAATTATCCATTAAGGATAAATTAAATGTTTTGTAAGTTTATGTACGAACCGTAAGATTTGATTTACGTTTTCCTTCACTTTTTAAGGAAGGAAATAAAAAAAAAAGTCTGTTGGATTCAAATATCATTAACACCAGTAGATCCTCGAAGCGATCAGGGAATGAAGTCATTAACTGAAAGGTAAATATTTTATTCTTGCCACGGACCAAAAAGTCCTATCTTACATTTTCGATAAGCATAAAGCTTCGAAGATTAAAATGACAAAATTCATCGCTGGCGAATTAAACATTCCACTTAGAAATCTCGTATCAGATATCGACCGGGCACCAAAAACGCATTCCCAGACGCGTTAACGAGAGTTCACTGCGCTTCTGTCGTAAATATTTACCTTAAGGAATTACATAATAATGTATGTCATCTTGGTCATCAAGAATTTATATGGTCGAGAATTCGTCGTATTCAACAGAGGGAGTAAAGAGAATGGCTGAAAAATGTAATGCGTGTGCCATAGAAAAGCCAAGATTTGTGACAGTCCTGGGTATTACGATAAACTACATCCGCGTCCTGGGTAAGACGATAAACTACGTCCAACAGCAAGGCCTCTCTGATCAGGGACTTTTGAGGAGCATGAAACCACGCCTTAATCGCTGGTGTTCCCAGGTTCACCCTGACCCAGGGTGGTGAAGCACCTGTTAGAGTCCCAGCTATGTGCAAATAGTTAACCCCGCAAACTGGGGTCAAAACACTATGAAAATGTAAAAATAGGTTTTAATACCAAAAATAGTTTTTTGTAAAAAATTATTACCGGCAATTTTTGAAGAAAAAATTATTACCGGAGGAAAAAATTATTACCAATAATACATATTTTTTTTTTAAGAAAAGATATTACCAGCAATACAGCAAAAATTTTGTCAGCATTAAATAACCCAGGTTGATAAGCTGTAAAACAAAACCAAACCAAGATTTTTGAAAGAAAGAGGCAAATTAATCAAAGCTAATCAACCCTTCGAAAGCTTGAATATAGATTTAAAGAGACCGCTTCCTTCAAATTGAAAAGGAAACAAATATATATTATCATTAAGAAATATAGTTATTTTCCTTTTGCTTTTGCGTGTAGGGACATGCTCACTACAACTTGTATTTGATTTGTTTAAGTAAATTATTTTGTATATTTGGTATGTCAAGATATATACACTCTGAAAGGGGATTTAGTTTTATCTAGTCCGAGGATTTAAGGAGATTTTTTTTTCAAGAGAAAGGAATATCTACGGGGAAACAGTGAAGTGTAGAGACTGAACGGAAGTCTGTGGAGGTCGATCAACTTAGCCTTAAAATCAAGAGGTTCACCAGTGCATTAGTGGGAAAAAGTTTTATCTGATGCTCTCAAATCGATTCGTTCCTTACTGTGTACAGCCAATAATTGTACCCCTAATGAAGGGATGTTTTCTTTAACCGAGAAAATCTAACCTCCAGAAGATCTTTCCCTTCATGGTTGACAATTCCTGGGAAAGTTCTTAGGAGAAAATACGTTCAGAAGAAGTATGAACCTGCTATACAAGAAGTTGGGGTGATTCGGGTGAATCACCATTACGCTCTTGTTAGGTTATCAAATGGAAAAAACGTACTGTTTTTCTACATTCACCTCGCTCCTGCCGGGAAGAGAACGGCAATCTCCAAACCTGAAGCAGTTACAATAGTCTCAAATAGTCCTATAACGGATTCGGATGGAAATGATACTAAAATCAGAAGATTCTATACCACGACCAATGACTCGACTAAAGAGCCTGAACCAGGAACCTGTAACTTCCCTATCCCAAACATTGCAAAAATACCCCTCCACAACCCTTTAAGTTGCTCTAAGCGTATCACCAAATAACCTAAACGACTCCGGTATCTAACACTAAAAACCTGAAGAAGACCGGAATGTACAACAGCCGAAACGCTGTGAATATGGCAGTGACATCAATGGATTTAACCACGTCTTTATCCACAGGGTCATGTGTCGTTGAGGAAGAGGCATGACACGTGGCACTAGACCAATCTACCCAGGTGGACGAAATAAAGGTTTCGGTTTGAAATTCCCTATAACCTGAAGAAGGCCGGGGCATACAACGGCCGAAACGTTTTGAATATGGCACTGAAGATGAGAATAACAGTCTGAATAATGTAAATAATGCAAGTAATCATAATACCTTATTTCAGTGATATAGACAGATATTGAAGGCCGGGGCGTACAATGATTAAAACGTTGTGAATATGGCAATGAAGATGAGGATAACAGTTTGAATAATGTAAATAATGTAAAAGTATTCCAAATTTACATTATCAAACAAAAGTGGGGGGAGAATGTTGTATTCATGTGCAAGTCTCCACCATATAAATAGCAGTTAATACAGCTAGTGACTAAACTAGTCTTTGATATTGAAGACTAAACTATTAGAGAAATAGTAGTGAATACTTCTAACTAATTATAGCTTACCACAAACATAATGAGGAAGGAGGGCTTAGAAAATCTGTTACTCACAGGGCAGATTGAGAGCAAGAGGGACAGAGGAAAACAATGCATAACATATTTGACGAGCTTGAGAAAATGAATGGCGGAACACGGTTTAAATAGAACGTAAAGATAGAATTTATTTAGAGCTGCAAGAGACAAGAAACTGTGGAGAGCCATGATCGCCTACGTCATGAAAAAGGCGCAGCACAGAGAGAATTGACAGGAAAGCAAGAATCTGGATGAGAATCACATAAGGCGAGAAGTGCGAGAGAAGAAAGTATTAGAATAGCAACCCTAATAGTGCAATGATAGAAGGAAGGCTTAGAAAATTTAATACACACAAGGCCAATTGACGTTAAGAGTGCCAGAGGAAAGCAACGTACAACCTACATGGCGAGCTTGCTCAAATGAATGTTGGGGCAGTGCTTGCGAGAGATGGTAAAAAGACAAGTTATTAAGAGCTACAAAGAAAGAAATCGTGGAGAGTCATGCTCGCCAATGTCCTGAAGGTACACGACACATAGAAGAATGCTGAGACCTAACCAGTCTAGTACTGCGCTTAAATTCGTGAAGTTGAGTTGCCAAAGACAAAAGTTCATTAGAACAATTGCCATGAAAATATTTATAGAAAGGACACGATGTCACAGCAGTGAGAAAGTGATTGAAGCCGAGATGCCAGGTCAGAACCGATAATACAGCATATAGTCTTTTTCCAATTTTTGTTATTACATTTTTTAACTGATGATTGTATACAAATTAAAACTTGCCTGTGTTGATGTCTGCTACTCAAAAATGATTAACTTGTTCTGTCTTTTTCATTTTATTTATTTATGTCTGTTTTGTTTTTCATTCTTTTTAGATGCTACCTAAAATGATGTCATAATAAAAAGAACTTTCTGATATACAATGACGTCACGACTTTTTTTCTCTCTTTTACGGAAGTTGTGTCCAAGGTGAAATACTTTCTCATTTTGCAAAAAAGAAAAAAAAGAAGATAAAAATACGAGAAAGAAGTAACTAATAACAAAATGAAATTAAAAAGTAAAAACTTTTTTCTAACGTTCAATTTATTTGGAAACTACTTTTTTAGCTGTTAATGCCGCTTAGTTGTGTAACCACTGCTTCGAAATCACTTGAATCAATTTGCTAATAGGCTAATAATAATAATAATAATGATAATGAGTTCGATTCTCACTGAATGACTAACAAGTGTGGCCTTGTGCCAAGCTAAGGTAGCTAGAGACATAACACTACTTCTCGCTACAAAAAAAAATCATAATAATGGGGTTTTGACCCGTTAAAATAAAAAAAAACATTTCCTGAAAATTTATTTTTTGTCGATATTTTTTTGTGTTAAATTCATGTTACAAGTGAATAAAATAAATTACAAACTAAAAATTGGATTAAAAATGTGTTGTAATTTTTTTTTAATTACTCCGTTTTGAAACGTACATTGTGTGTGTGTGTGTCTCTATTGCACAAGTGTTGATACTTACCAAAGACATGTACACACGACACGCACGTCTCTATTCCCATTATTACATTATGATATTTGTTTAGTAAGCGTATACGAAACTGAATACTAAAAAAAATAAAAATAAAAAAAATGTATTATTTCACTTTTAACCATCCGTATAAGACAATTACCTCACATTTGTTTTTCCTGTTTACTCTTCGTCTTAAATATCGCACTAGTCGGAATGTAAATTCAAATAAAATCGCCGAATGAAATCAAAAAAAAAAAAAAAAGAATTCTTTCAGAAACACTGGTGTAAAAAAAACTACTCACCCCAAAAAACTGCCAAGTGATGTCTTAAAGAAACGAATCAGGATAAAAAGATGTAATAACGTCGGCAGAACAGGAAAAAAAAACAATCTTTGTCAACGTTCACTGACAACAATGAGTTCTGTTTGGCTAAACCGGAATAACAGAATAACGATAACTACTATTCTTTTATTCTCTGGGAATTTTGAGCCTTTTTTTAGTTTTATTTTTTATTATTTATTTGATTTCAAAGAATCAGTCAACTCAAAGAGTCAAAAGTCACATTTCTTTTCTTTTTTTTCTTTTTTTTTCTATTTAAAAACTTCTTACATATTACTTCCAATATTCTTCTATTCATTATTGTAATTTCTCATTACTTAGATATTTTAAAGTATTAAAAAAACCTTTTTGACATAAATACCGTAATTCCCCATGTATAATAATAAGCATTTTTTTAAAATAATAAGCCAAATTAGGGGTGCGTATTATGCACAGCTACAAAAAAAATCTTTAAAAACATTGCCGTTTTATAGGTTGATTTCAGTTGCGAAATGACTACTCACCACAAATATACGACAATTTTTTAACACTAACATTCGGCGATTGTCACCCCATAAGGATGTCAAATACAATCATATGTACCTAACAATACTTACAAATGTAAAATAAAATAAGGTTTATCATAAAACTAAATTAGAATAATATTATTCTATTTTTTTTTTTAAACAAGAGTGGGAAACGCTGGCCGTAAATGAAATTAGAGAGGTACAATATTTATAGGTTTTGATTACCAAACAAGGAGTGCGTATTATACAGGAGTAGAAACATTTTCCCCACACTTTCAGCAGAATTTTAGGTGTGCGTGTTACGGCTGAAGGCGTATTATACATGGGGAATTTATGGTAATTTTTATTTTTAAGTTATTCAAAAAAGCTCAGAAATGATTTTAATTTTAAAAATCCATTCTGTATTTTAATTTGTACGCCATAATTATTTTATAATATATTTATAAATAAGAGATTACGAAAATTGTTTTCTTAATTCGATAATCAATTGAAACAAAAAGTACATTTTAAATAACTCGGAACTAAACCAACCTTTCGTAAGGAGGTCAAAGATCACAAAAACTGATTAACTCGTGCTCGAAGCTGCAAACACTGAAAATGACTAGAGTTTTTTTTTTTCTTTCTATAAGAATTCAATGTGAACTTTTTATTTTTGGTCTTTTCTTTGTTTTGATGCCAATGCTCCTGTATCCAGTAAAATACACACACACACACATTAAAATAAAAAAGTATCAAATATCACAATCACATTCACTCGCTACGAAAAAGGTTTATTAGGGAGGGATGTTTTTTGCTTCCTTTTTTTAAGTACATTAAAGAATAGTTTCAAATTTAAATTTATTAATGTTACTCCACACGATGCACTTACTTATACAATAAAAAGTTTATTTCTTTGAACGTTATTTTAGTTAGTGCACACCCGTGTCAGAAATAGACGCCCCGTTTTATTTTAAGTTTTTAACTAAACGTCTATCGGCCTATGCACTCAAAAAACCTTAATGTACTCTCAGCCGGAGAGCACATTTTCTTATTAAGATCGTTCCAGCATGTAAGCTGAAAGTGTTTAAATAAATAAATAAAATGGTATTCGCCGATTCGGTATGTCGGGTTATAAAATAAATAAAATGTCGGAATAAAAATTAATCTATTTTCTTTAAGGACAAGGTGTAAGTAAACATTTTTACAATATGTTCGTGAGGTTATTTTTCGTTGAAATACCAAGAAAATGGATAGTGTGACGAAATATTAACACGGAAAATTGAATAAGTAATTAATACTTCAATTAATAAAGAGACCAGTAATTGCTTTTGTAAACAGTAAAAAGCATTGTATTCATAGAGCAAATAAAAAAAAACTTTCTATATTTCGGAGAAGTATATTGTAATTATTTACACAATCACCTGACGAAAGCCTGAGCGTACAAATGCTGAAAAAAAAAAAAAAAAAAAGAGATGAGAACAAAAGTCCAAAGAATAGTGTAAATAATTTAAAAAAAAGAAAAGAAAAAAAAAGTTAGCTCAGATGCTGTGGCTCATATAATAAAGACGTTGGCAAATCGTTTCGAAGATGTCTGTGTATTAATTATTAATTCTACGTAATTCCTACTTGAGCGGAATATGGAGCAAGGCCGTTTATTTATTTATTTTTTTTAAGTGGAAACCCACACGGACATGAGTTTAGCAACAAAAAATTGCTCACGCTTATTGGACGCTTCACGTATCAGGCGACCCTGACACTCCTCTTTTAAGTACATTGGGTGTGAGGGTGTTGCCTGGTTGTCTGACCCCCAACCAGAAATAATGTTGGTCGAGCTTCTAAATACGTCTGGTTGGTTCTCAAAAGTAAAATAAGGCGACCAAAACACAAGTCAGTCAGTCAGTTATGTGCCATGCATGATACACGCTTAGGGGATTATGTATCTTTTGATACATGACTGACGAGACAGATTTTTTCCCGTAATGGGTTGCCATTTCTTTCTGCAGTAGACCAGTTGCCATCAAAGGCTATAGAACCCGGTCTGTCCTGCTATTTACCCATAGCTGGGGCGGGGGAGAGAGAAAAAGACGATTAATATATTCAAGTAAATTTTCTTAAGTGAATAATGAATGTAATGGATCCGACTGGAATTCGAACTCGGATCTCCGATTCCTAAATCCAGTACTCCACCTTGCCTCTAAAACATTCAGTCATGCCTCATACACGTTAGGTGATCGTGTATCTTTCGATATTTGACTAAGGAGTCAGATTTTTTCCCGTAGTAGGTTGCCATTTCTTTCTGCAGTAGACCAGTTGCCATCCAAGGCTATAGAACCCAGTCTGTCCTTATTTATCCATAGCTAGTGGGAGAAGAGGATTCATATCTTTCCCAAGGGCATGAGCACGTAAGTAATGGATTTGACTGGAATTCGAACTCCACCGTTTAAGGCAAATATTTTGTTCCAACCCATAATAGTCATTCTGCCCGACCCCTTAAAACGTGTGTGCGTGTGTGTAATAGAACGTAGCAAGTGTTTATATGGGGAGGGAGTGACAGTAGTTATGATACCCCAGAGAGAAAATCACACCATATAAATGTTGATTATTTTTTATCTTTCTTTGTCCACTTTATTCAACAGTTCTACATTTACACAAACAAAAAAAAAAAAAAAAAAAAGATGTCAAAATTATCGTTTTCTTTTTAATTTTTAGTACTCAACATGTCGTTTTTGATAACGATTTGAAAAAAAAAAGTCTTCGAAGTGGGAAAAGTGGCCTAGAGAAATAAATAAATTTAAAATAAAAGGAAACACTCGGTTAAACCACGGACTCCTTAAAAACCACCCCGAAAAACTCATTTTAAATTTTATAAAACAAATTATGTATAATAATTAAAAGTTGAAAATAGAATAAAAAGTAATGCAATACATTAAGTTTGTTTCTTGCTCTTTCTCTTGGAGGAGAGAATATGAAAAATTATATAAAAAAATGTAAATTAAATAAAAGTCTGGACAAAAAAAAATAAATATTAGGAGTCTGGGTTTGTTTATTATACTTACTTTTAACTTAAGAGAAGTGTTTTAAAAAGTAAGAGAACGCCAGACGGATATTAAACAGGTAACTAATAAATTTGACGTGAAATATTTTTAAACTTTCTAAAAACAGCAAAAAAAAAAAAAACAGCTGAAAATAAATCGGTCAAAGGTGAACGGTTTGTGATTTAATTTTCAAATTTCAAAAATCTATATACTGTGGCAAATTTGTTCCGGCTTTCGCACATGGAAGGGTTGAAGTTAAATAATGCGACAAAATTTTAAAAAAGAAAAAAGCAACAACGGCTTGAAAGATCTCTTTAGGGGGAAGTATAGGGTGACCCCCAAAAAACGGGAACTTTTTAACAATCCAATAAAACCAAGAGTGATGGAAGAAAAATATTTTATTCATAGTAATTGAAACCTTAAAACATGCCATTTAAGAAACAATGATGGAATTTTCATTTTTTAAAAATTACGTCCTGTAGATGGCGTACGAATGCATTCTTGAAATCTGCTGTTGAGATTCCTCATTGACTGCTGCAACATCTCAGCTGGGATACTGTGAATTTCATCTTGAATTCTAAATGGCGAAATGTTTACTTGCTCAAGGTCACTGTCTCGCAGTGTTGCCACTTGCTCATGTCTGGCAATACGTACTTAAAAATTTCGTTTTTTTGGGTCACCCTGTATAAAGACTGAAACTCCTGCTCGAGGTGTAACAATAAAAGAAGAAAATGTTTATTTACATAACAAAAAAAAAGGGTAAAAGGATATACTACACAATTACAAGAAAAAGAAAGAGAAGAAAATTCCGTTAAAGGAAGAAAAAATGTTCATGAAAAAAAGGTTTGCTCAAAATTCTCTCAGCGCCTAAAAAGTTCTTTAAGCGAATAGTAGTTTGTTGAAAGGTTAAAACACTCACAGATTTCTTCAGAGTTCTTGTATAGGAGGAAACTATCGGAAGATAGTAATTTTGCACTTGAGTGAGTTCGTAGGACGACGACAAAAATCTTCTAGTTGCAAGGAAGCAGATCTCAATTAGTTTTTAGTAGTGAGTCAACGGTCTGTCTTTACAACCGAGCAGGTAGATCTTTTTTGTTGAAACTGGTTCTGAAGTTGACTGGTGTTCTATCGCCGACCTGATGTTATCACAGACGGTGACTCTTGATTTATTGTTAAAAAAAATACAATTATGGCACATGGCCTAAAATAGGGGATGGATTAAGGCTGGTCTTTACTGACTATCCTATACCTAACTAATCCAATTCACGACCCATTCACTCATTACAATTCGCACATTCACCATAAGAAATCACCCGTCATCAATCAATCCTCCATACACCATAACGCCGCATACTCTCAGGGGAACCTACAAAAACGCACTATGGTATAAAAAATTGATGATAATAAAAGTTCAATACATAAAAATTTAATAATTGACAATGAGAGGGGAGGGGATGGAACCCCAAA